ACCAGTTGCCTATGATGAAAGACCCTAACAGTCCTTCACTCTACATATGCAAAGTATTTGTAAAGTGACCTAGCAGCATACGGAAAACCAGAAGTCTTCCTCCCATCTTGCAACAGTTTGGGATAGTAATGGTCCTGCAGAAGCACCCAACTGTATGGTGGGAATATTTGTTAATCACATAAATAATCTAAGTAAGATGAGACCAGGGAGGTTTGAGAGGGATACTAGAAAATGGAAAACAAGATAGCAGATGAACTTGTACTTTGACAAGGACCAGGTGATCACATTGGAAAGACCATTTTGAATGATTAGTTCAAGCCAGTGAGTCCAGAACTAGTACTGTAGCAAGAAAGGAGTTAGTGTCCCTGCAGGAAAATCCAAGATGCCAGTGCACCGTATCACATCATTCAGAAACAGAACTAAGAAGTTAGACTGCATGAGGGGACAGAACAGTATATAAAAGTATTACAAGACCTTTTTATGAATGGATGTAATTGCTAAACTGATATACAACACACCCACACGACAAAAATCTGCGCGCAGACCCATCCTGTTTTCCCCTCCTGAACAATGTTTCTGAGGGCCTTATCTATACATTTTTTGTATTGATTTAACTTCCTCAACTCAAAAACCCATTCAGTTTAAATGGTGCAACCCCTCAGTGTTAGCTCAGTTATATTAGTAAAGAAATGCTTACACTGGCCAATATACAAGCACCTTTATACTCATGATCTACATTCATGCAGGTATAACAGTGTAACTAGATGGGATTTCAAATTAATTATCAAGTCGGTACCAAAGTTGTACATAGAAAAACACTGCGAAAGCAGAAATAATTAAACATGATGTCAGCCGATGACTCAGACTCTTCACAAACAGGCTGGGAAATGTCACAGAGGAAACAGCCTTACAAGCTCAGAGAGCCTAAATAGGTGGAGAGGAAAAAATAGTATTTGGAGGCTCTGTAGTTGAAGACAGAAACCGAAAAAAAAAAAATGACAAGGAACTGATTGTCTAAATGCTTCCTGCCCATTCTTTGATTAAAAAATATTTTAAAAACATAGAATAAACCTTCTCAGAATTGACACTCACTAGGATTTGTGCCATAATATTTATTTGTGGCTGTTAATTCAGATGTAGATCATGCCAAGTGTCCACTTGAATTAGATCTTGGCATGTTACTCAAGGCAAGGGCAGAAGATGCCAAGCTAACCAGGACTCCCACAAATATGGGTCACCCCCCTTTATCTTCTGTCTGGCTCTTTTGTCCAATTTGTGCCTAGTTTGGTAGGAAGTAGCTCAGGCCAAGAACTTGCCACATTAAACATGTGTAATGTGTTGCAGAAATAACACTGCTGCCTGGGGCCTATCAAAAGAACTGGGGTCATGCCTGTAATGGTGAGCATCCTGGGAAAAGACACACCATACTGCTCATACAACATAAGGGATCTGTGCTGTTTTCCAGGCTCATGTGGGTCACAGCCTGACTGACTAATCATACCATCTCTCATCCAGGCCTGTGCTTGGTGACAACAGGCTGGGATGGTTTAGTTAGGATGATCCTGCCTTGAGTAGGGGGCTGGACTAGATGGCCTTGCAAGGTCCAGCCTGGCTTTCCTACAACCCTATAATCATAACGTGGAAGGCTGAGGAGAGAATGAAAACAACATAATTTGCTCTTCTTCTTCACCAGTATGTCTCTGTAAAGTGGCTGTTTCATCCTGCAAAAAGACCGGAGGCCTCTTACAAAGATCCCTCTATACACTGGGGATGGAAATCACTCTTTTTATGATGCCTCCTTTTTCCTGTTACAGCCTGATCTTCTCTTTCTTCCAGATATCCCCAGTCAGTTCCAAGCAATGACACTGGATTTTGTAGCAGCACTGATTCCCACTTCCTTCCCTGATCTCTCAGATTTTTATCCTCGACTGTCCCCATTATTATGGGACAGGACTTGTAGAAGGACCCTGAATGTGATATCCTCTCCTCCTGGCCACAAAGAAACACATGTAACCTTCCCACAAATCAGGGAGCCTCAGAGAAAGGTGACCAGGCCTGTAGTCACCTGGATTTCTTCCTAGGCATTATATTTGTCATCCCACCACCACCACCAAGCCCACACTGACCAGTTTCACTCTTGTCTCCAAGGTTGGCCATAAAATATTGATTCCTCCTGTGGAATACACTACCCGCCCGTGAATCTCCCCATTCACCAGTGGGATACTCTCCTAGTAAGAGTTCAGCCAGCCACAAGATCCCCTTGAAATTGTCTCTAACTCCTTCTCCACTCCCCTCATAGAGAAACACAGGAATATAAGACTAAAAGGGGTCATCAAGTTTCATCCGCTATGTTCACAGGGACTCATTAACTGAAGGAATCCACAAAACCACCCCTTCAAGCCCTCACTTACAACTTCAAGGTGCAAAATCAGGGAAAGCAAAAACAGCTTATAACAGGGGCACACGTTTCCATCTTTGGTCCAAAATAACCCACCCCAAGTCAGGGGCAGGTGGATAGGCAGGCACTAGGACGCAGCTGTCACCACTGCTCATCCTTGTAGTAGCACAAGGAGAACACCTGCAGCCAAAGCCCCCTGCCTCTGATGCTCTACATCTACAGGCTGCATCCAATGAATCTGCAGACCATATCCAGCTTGTGGACCATAAGCTGCTGACCATTGACCTATAAGATGCTATAGGGAAGAGCAGAGGTAGGTGTGGGATGTCCTGCAGGTGTGAGGCATATGGCCGCTGCTTACACACAGATCTGAAGACCCAGGCAGAGCAGGACATATGGAGTTAGCAAGCTGTCCCCAGCAGAATTGATACTTTGTTCTGGGTGACCTGGAGGGATCCAAAAAGCTATGAAAAGGGCAGCACATAGGGTGTGAGAACACTGCTCTTATGGTTGCAACAGCAAGACCCAATAGATGATGTTTAGACAAACCCACCCTGATAAAGACGTTGGTACTCACTTGGAAGGTGCCATTACAGGATCCTCTGCCCAACCTCCGTGCCGGCGTGCAGGTTTAGGTGGGGGGCCCTTTAAGGAAAAAAAGCCATACTTATGTTATACCTGAAGCTACATGTTATACCTAAGTCCAATTAGGGAAACTCAGACATGGGGTTCACTCAAGCTGACTTCTGGAAACAGTGACCAACAAGAAGCATCAGCCCAACACTTAGAGGCTGGATTTAGAAGCATTTCACAAAGCACAAGGAGCAGAAATGTTGCAGAAAAGGTTGAAAAGGTGTGTTAAAGCAAAAGATACATCAAACTAACCAGTAACCTGGCTGAGCTTCAAGTTCACATGTCCTAGATTGTGGTCCTTCTTACCCAAGGAACACTGCCAATGGCAGCCATTCTGACTGTGGCTGCTGCTTTCTCTCCAGGTTTTTGAGGCACATCCAAAGCTTACTACTGTTACCAGCATTTTTTCTTCTGTCCTTGCCATAAGAAGACACTCTCTGCACCCAGGAGCATAAAGCATCTCATTCAGCAGAGGCCCAAGCTATCTGTATGACATATAGAAGTGGCCATAACGGGGAGGAAATGAGCTCACTTCAAATACCCTGAAACAGCAAATGGGCAACGGCGATTTGCTCAAGCACTAGCAAAGTGTGAAAATGATACAATAACCCCGAGAGTGCCTTGGCTCTTGGGCTATAGTGGGATTGGGACTCTGGGACCCCTGAGCTTTTGTTAAGAAAGAGAGTGGGTTGGGGAATCGTGGGTTGGTGAATCCTGGAAATTCTTTAAAGTGGAGCGTATGTGGGGGTCTAGCCTGAGACAAGGCCATGAGGTCAGGAGAGGTGGTGGTGGTAAACCCCATGCTGAGGGTCTCCAGTGTTTGTTTCTTGAAGCAGAAATATTGTTTGTGAGTGTGGGAAGCAGACGGAGTCTGCCAGGGGCAGCCGTTGCCTGTTGCAAAGAGGGGACGTGACCCCGCATAGCTCCCTGATAGGAGCAAAAATAGTCACTCTCCAAAAATAAACAGGGAGCAGGAATGAGGCAGGAGCTGAAGTCCCAAAATACCAGCTTTCTTCAGCAAAGGGAGCACAGGAGGGCAGAGGGACAGCCAGGGAGCATGAAACCAGGAAATGGCCTCCATATATGGGCTCATCCGCAGGGGACAGAGCTCAGTCGACTGGAATGACCATGTCACAGAATGTGAAGCCTTCAGGGGCCCAAGTGAATGGAGTTTTCTGATCTTTAAATGATTCCCCCAGATTCTTAAGATGCCAAACCAAAGAAGAGGTTGCAGTGCCAAAAAAGGAGCATTTTGAATTCAGTTGATCTGTACACTCCCAGAGTCCTGGAAAGAGAGGAAAACACACCACATATGGGTGTGTGTGCACATGCAACCCTACTCCCACCACAGAACTCCCCCACCCCAAACAACTGTCCCTCTCTAATCATGCACAACCCTGAATCTGCTTCTTGTATAGCTCATACACAGCCTACCATTCACATACACCAGACACCCAGCCTTACAACTGTTCCCTGCACAACCACAGGCAGTGACGGCTCATGAGTACAATGAGTTACACATATGCTGCCAAAGAGTCCAGGAGACAAAATACTTTAAACCCAAACCCCAAATGGTGTGACTGTGATTTAAACCCTACACCATCAAAAAAAATTTTTTTTTTTGAAAAGTCAACATTCAGATGCAAGGCCCCTCACATTTGGCACCCACAATCAGGGGATACTTCTGAAAATGTTTTCCTGGTTTCTGTCCAGGACATGACTTCATTATGTATCTGGGATTCAATCTCATTGTCTCATCCAATTTACAGTTTCTCCCCAATGTGCACATAGGCCACATAGCTCCTAATGTCCAAAATATGAACCCTTCACATATTCCCACAGCCAATTCTTCTGGTGACTCTTCCAAGATTAACTATAGTTGCATCCACTGAAGATTAGTGACTTGGTCTGTAAAGTTCCATAATCAGGCTAGAATTCTATGGGCATTTTTTTCTTGAATAATAATAAGTTTACATGTATTTGGAATCATTTATCCCAAAATCTCAAAGTATTTTACAAGCTACAATGTAAGTATCAGGTCACATGCATCACCAAAACATAGCTATTGCTGAGGTAGATCTGGCAGTTTCAAGCCAGACTTTGAGACAGAAAATGAAAAGAACACCACATCCAAATGACGCTACAGGTAGAACTTTACAGGTCTGGTGTAACTAGACAAATTCAGTTCTAGACATTTCACTCTTCCTGTTACATTTTGGCCAAGACTCAAAACAAAGGGCCCAATGGTAAAGTTCAGTGTCTAAAAATATTGCCTGGTTTTCTAAATAATGGGCACCCAGTTTCACTTTCATGCACTGCCAGTTATGACATTTTAGCATGTTTTCACCCACCTCTTCACACATACACGTGCACACACACAAGCCTTTACTCCCTTTAACTTTTTTGGCAGCATTAAATAGTCCTTTTTCTTGCCACCCTCAGCTTCTCTCTACAAGATTAAACTGTAAACTTGTGTTCCATCCCAGAAAACTCTTTTACCTTCAGTCCATATTGTTCATGGCTTGGTCCTTTAAATTTTTTTCCCCACAAGAATTCAGTGTCTTGTCTTTATGAAGGCATCAGGCACTCCCCAAACCTCTTTCTTCGTTGGAAGTTCCTTACTTGCACCTTGTTCATGGGATTCTCCCCTCCCTAATTCCTTTACATCTATTAGCTTTATTCTCTGAATCCCCAGTCTTCACCATGTTGAATTCAAGCAGCAAGTATTCACTGGCTCCCTTCTTCATACATGTGGTCACTTTCTCCTCCTTGCCAGTCAGCAGCAGTTCCAGATGGCTTCTCCTCTATTTCCTGTATCACTTAGGAAAAAAGAGGTTCCAGTCTCCTCTTAGCTTGTTTCTCTATTGCTGCAGGGTATTTTTCCCCTCATGTAAAACAAACAAACTGCTGTTCAGGAACTTGAGAACAGGTGAAGCTTCAGTAGTCACTTACTGTTACAGAGGCAGGTTATGGATGTGTTAGGTTCCTCCCATAAACAGGTTTTTAGGAGGGATAGAAGATGTGGATTAAGTTACCTTCATCAGGTAAATTCAAATTCTGTGTAGGGAAACAGACTCAAATGACACTGGCAGTGTTTGTCAGGGGGCACAGAAATGGTCTACTGTGGACCTTCCTCACTCACTAGAAGTGCCATGTCCTACTCCTATCCCTGCCCAACATGCTAGCATTTGAAGATTTTAGATGGGATGGAATTGCCATGTATTTATTTACCAACAGACACGGAAAGGAAGAGAAGAGAATCAGAGCCAGGCTTGAGTTTCAGTTTCTACAATAAGTTAGCTTCATAGTTAATAAAAGAAAAATCCCTTCCACAGAGAGACTTCTGATTTAGGCTAGATATCAGGAAAAACTTCTCCACAGTAAGGCTGGCCAAAATTTGGAATGGGCTTCCGAGGGAGGTGGTGTTCTCCCCTACCTTGGGGGTCTTTAAGAGTAGGCTGGATAGGCATCTGGCTGGGGTCATCTGACCCCAGCACTCTTTCCTGCCTAGGCAGGGGGTCAGACTCGATGATCTGTTGAGGTCCTTCCAACCCTAGCATTTATGAATCTATGAACCTCGTGAATTAGTTCTGGATAATCACCAGAATCACAAAGAATAACCCTGATGCCTTCAGGCAGCCACAGAAAGAAACTGGTCTGTACATCTACCACATAGAGCAAGATACAGGGAAGGACCAATTTCTCAAGTGTGCCAAAGGCAATTCCCCAAGCTTCCCACCGCAATGGAGCTGTGCCAGGGCCTGCCCTCACTTCATGAAGCCCATTGTTAGGAATTCAGCACAGGTGTGTCTATGAGACAGCCTCCAAGGAGTTCCAGTTGTCCTATGTTCCTAAAGTAACACTGCTGAGTTCATTTCCCTCTAGACTCCGTCATTAGAGCCAGCTACTTTCCTTTATTGGGGAGATGGGGATCTCAGGTACAGCAAGATGGCCAGGGCCTTCTCTGGAGCCCTAAATGGTCTCGTACCATCTACCACAATAGAAAAGTGCCAGTCTGTACTGCACAACAGGTGTCAGGACTTAAAACAACTGAAAGGCTCAGCTATATGAACTAACTGAACAGTAACATAGTCATAAGTAAAGTACTCATATTTAAGTATATGGCACTTTGTCTTAAACTGCATCTTGCATACACATGGGGAGTTATGCAACAGTGCTTGCCAACAGCTTTTCCTCTAACCTTAGCTTGCATGGCAGAGCCCCTACTCATCCAAGGGCTATATAGCAATGCCCCTTCAACCCCTTCAGGCTGTAAAGCAACATCCCTCAACCAGCCTGCTCCTTCACAGGGTTATGCACTAGTTCCCATCCCATGTTACCCCTCTGTCAGCTCCTTAGGTTCGTTCAAATGAAAGCATTCCAGGCATGAAATAAATCTGTGGAAAAAACTTTAATACAACTATTTCCCACGGGATTCCCAGAGTCCATCCCTCTTCCCCACCCAGGGAGTTGCTGAGCAACCCAGCCGTCAGAGTGGCCAAGCAGGAAGGATACTGCCACAAGGTTGGGAAACATAACCGAATAGCAACACTGCCCTGGTGAGAGTAAGGAGATACATCATTAAAGGACCAGCAGATAACCTCAGCAGGCTAAAAATAAATCCCCAGCCACTTGGGGTGCACGAGAAAAAGGCAACACAAGGCCTTGGGGAGATCCTACACATACAGTGCTGGGGCTCACATTGAGGAAGCTGGCCTAATTAGGGAACATAAGTTCAGCTGCATTTTTCAGATTCCTCCTGAAGAATCTGGCCAACTTCCAGATGAGCAGTCCCAGAGGACTGGCTGGGAGTCCTGCACGTTTACTATCAACCACAGGACCACAGAGAAATAAAACCCGGTCCACTTCAAAAGGGAACAGGTAGACCAACGAATGATTCTCTGCATGCTGACCCCTTCTGCTGGTACGTGCGTCTCTTCCATGAACAGAGAGTAACAGATTCCAAACAGCTAGCTGAGATCCCAGGACATGGCAGGGAGGTTCAGCTCAAC